CTTGCATTATAAAAGTACGTAGGTCTGATACAGTACTGACTTGGTGGGAATTGTGCTATAACGGTGTCCTATCAACAAATTTCCATGACAATCTCCAACTGTCACCTGTTGATTTCATCGCGTTGGTTCCTCTTTACATCTGTGCATGGAATTGCTGAGTGATGACTAAGGCCTAAAGTCTGTTTGTGTTTGTCACCAGTCATAGTGTAGTATTAGACTATTTTTTTCCCTGCTTTTCTTGATCACGAATCCATTAAATTCATTAAATTCTGTCATTAAATTCAAATTAGCTTCAATGACAGAAGAACACAGAAAGAACTCACCTCTCCGTCTTTTATTAAACCGCTCCACTTCAAACCTCATCTTTTCTTTTTTGCTATTTTTCAATTTCTATGTTAATCTTAATATATTTTTTTCTCCTCAAACTGAAACATCGACAACTCACGCTGCTGCTAGAAAAAGGGTATTACGGCGAATAATTATGCACAGCTAACCAGCAGGTTTGTTTAGCGATCTGCATGCAGACTACCTAAGGTTTGAGAACGTGGCCCAGACTGAGTTGTCCACAAATTAATGCCTGTTGACTCTAATGACCCAGAGAAGAAGGGCCACTTCAGCCTAAGAGAAGAAACTAGAAAAACAACTTTATAACAAACCAAACATCTGAACAAAACACACACCTGAGCAAAGTAGGGTAGTACAGGAGAATAGACATTTTTCTTGTGTCAACTCTTTGTACGGTTGTAGAATCAAATATTGAATCAAGAAAAGATGGTGTGGTGTGGTCGGAGGTAGTTAGCACACTTGCCTCACAGGAAGAAAGTCATGAGTTCTGCATCTTCATCTTTGCATCTTTGTTCTCTTTAGGTGTTCTGGGGGCATTCAGGTGATGCAGTTCCCCCAGTCTACCCAGAGGGGTCAGGTAACGAAAAGTGGCTTTTGGTGCTGAACGTCCCTCACCAACACGACCACCACCACCACCACCACCACCACCACCACCACCACCACCACCACCACCACCACCACCACCACCACCACCACCACCACCACCACCACCACCACCACCACCACCACCACCACCACCACCACCACCACCACCACCACCACCACCACCACCACCACCACCACCACCACCACCACCACCACCACCACCACCACCACCACCACCACCACCACCACCACCACCACCACCACCACCACCACCACCACCACCACCACCACCACCACCACCACCACCACCACCACCACCACCACCACCACCACCACCACCACCACCACCACCACCACCACCACCACCACCACCACCACCACCACCACCGCTACATCACCACCACCACCAGCCGCCTCTCCTGCGCCCTCCATCTCTGATGGCTCTATGGGGAGTCATCAGCCTCAGCCTTCACTGCTGGGTTTGTTTACGGTCTGCAGTGACAGCAGCAGCGGTGGCCACAACATCCAGCCTCCCCAATGACAAACCTGGGGGCCCCTTGGACTGGCTGCTCTCAGATAAGGGGCCCTTCCACCACTCCCCAGAGTACATTGACTTTGTGGACAAGAACCGACAAGGATTCTCCACCAGATACAAGATCTACAGGTAAGATAATAAAGAGTCATATGTACTGCTGTTTTAATGATTCACACACTGTTGTCCTGGCAACACATCTTCACCTAAAACTTCACCTAAAAATTATACAGCATAATCATCACTAATGAATGTAGGCAGACGGCTCACATATTTTAATTGTTCCTTTGCACACTGGAAATAAACGGCAAACTTCCCAAGAGCAGACTAACTAAATAAATAAAGAAATCATTGATTCACAGTGGCATTCTCCAACGTAAATAACACTGATAATGTCCGACAAACACGAGGCAGTCTAAAAAAGATACAATTCTCGCTCTGGCTCTTCTGCCTTCTGAATCTTGCATGGCTTACAATGAATGGTGAAGTTAAATCAGGTGGCGTTTATTACAAGAGGAAAAATAAAATCTGACAGAGGAGCCATAGTCACCCCCCGTCCCCGCCTTTGTTAAAGTCAGCTGAAAGTTACATCTACGGTGTTGTGTTGCTTGACCTGATTGTCATTAAAGGACAAGGTCACTCCAATGACATTTATTCTTTAATTACACATACATGAGAAGGCTGCAGCCGTGTGCACAGCTGTCGCCGCACAGGAGAGTTTTACTGCCGGTGCATTTACTATTTCTTTTTCTTTTTTTATCGTGACATTAAAATGATGTAAGGGAGGAAACACAACACAACTGCATATCTGTTATTAGTGCACACAGTGGAGTGTGCTTTATAGGGAGTCAGATTCATGGCTGCTTAGTCTGCAGTCTCACATTGTAATGCTCAAAAGTTTTCCTAACACACAGTGCACTCAGCATGTCGGCTACATGTTGCCTCTACAGTGACCGCCGATGCGTGAAAGACACAATATGTGAACTTGTAATTAAACTAAAATTGATTGTTTGCTCCTGCCATATTAATCAACATTCAAGTGAGGGGTGGGAGAAACGGACGTTTAGTCGATGGATCAATATTGTCTCTTGGACAAATGTGAATGGATTTAAAATTACATCCATGCTATTTAGAAATAAAACTTTCCTGTCTATAATCAGGACTGGTTGAACCAATCAGGTGGTGAGATGCCATACACCTATAACTACCTTAGGTCAATTCCTTAACAGTTTAGAGCATAAAACAGAAAGGGCCACAACATGGGAAACCATAGAACAATATCATGCAACCTACGCCCATGTCATACAAAACAAGCTGAAGTGTGGCATTATTTCTGCTTTTTTAGAGTAAAGGGAGGATGTGAGTTAGACAAGAGATGAGAAGTATAATTTGGAAAATCCCCTGCAACGTCAGCAGCACCACTTCGTTACCGTTTAAGTACAAATGTATTTCACTTCTATATATTATTATCGTTGGAGGTGACTATGGAGGTGATTATTTTTCTTTTACTTTTAAACATTTTTTATTTCTAAAGAATTTTCACAATGGACACTTTGAAATTGAACAAATGTAATTTAACTCACTTTAACTTTAATTTTTTGAATGGTGTGCCATCCATGAGTAATTGATGTTTTTCTTTTCTTGATTAACTTTTTTTTTCTGAGCCATGGTGATTAATGTTTATGTCATTCTGAGACAAAACATGCAGGAGTGTCGTAATTACATTTGTTTTTTAATACCGACAGGGACCTGCTGATGCATTTGCATTATTAAGTGTTAATCTAAATCATTTTGTTATTTGGAAGTGGATTTTAAATATATTCATTCACTTTTTTTCTATTTCCTATTCCTAATCACTACTGTAGAGAAAAAGGTGTCCGGAATCATATCTGTTATTCCTGAGGACAACGTTGTCCAGGCGTCCACACGTGGCCACACATGTTTCCTGACATATGTGGATCACTGCATAATTATTTTACAGCTCAAGTTAATGGTTGGTGTTTGAGATCTCGGCGTATTATTTTCTTTTCCGGGCTAAATCCAGTGGTCCACTGGAGGTGAGCTGCATGGGAGGCAAGATTAATAGTCTTATCATGTGGCCAAGTGATTAGTGAGCTCTTAGTACTTATTACTCTGCATTATCACACAATCCCCCGAGAGGCTTCTCTGTCAGCTGTGAGCCTGTGTTTGAGGCCCTCTAGATTACCACAACGGGGCATTGATTAATAGTGATGATATTAAAAGGGAAAAAAAAACTAACCTAAAAGGTAAATAGTCTGTAAATCTTCCCAAATTGAATTCACTTGGAATCAGTCCCACTTAGTTTTAGTGAGAAATCCGACAAAGACAAGAGGGACACAGCTGTGTCAGGGCTTTTTCCTCTTACTTCTCTTTTTGGCAAATAAAAGCTCTGTCAGAGCCGATAATAGTGGCAGGAAATGCAGTGATCCTTTTTTTTTTTTTTCTTTTTTTTTTCGGGAATGTTACACCTGCAGAGCTCTCATGAAAAATTCAGGAGGGCTTTTATATTGCAATATTGCAATATTCTCTCCAGGGGGCCAAACTTCACTGCTGTGATCCTGCTGTGTAACACTGGAGCATATGTCCTTAATTTTCCCCATCAAGACTTACATTTTTTGCTAACAAGAAAAGGGATTGTTGTCATTTCACTGGGATTAATATATATGTGTATATATATATATATATATATATATATATATACACACACACACATGTTTACCTGTCAATCATCATCATCTGTGATGAGAGCACACCTGAGCAGCTTCACTGAAGGCTAATGCAGGGGTTCCCAAAGTTTTCCATGCCAAGATCAAGATCAAGAAAATGATTATCAAACATGTTTTTCAGCACAGTATAGCTAGCTACATGCTAACTGGAGGAGCAGAGCAGCTTCAAAACAGGTACAAATTGCCAGGTCTACACGGATTATGACATCATAATGTTGCACTCGTCACACAAGGTGCATTCAGGTACCATCGGGAACTAGAGAATCCCACGACTATGACAGTTGATGTGTTGGACGGTTCACGACAAATGGTTCTAATGGTTCTTTTTGGGGGGCTGCTGATTCTTTAACTTCTTTATTCCTTTAATGCCCACTAGTTGTCCCCCATGGGGTCGCAGCCTCCTCTTCGAAAACCACTGTCAACGCATTTTTTGCAATAATATTTTAATAGTTTTGATTAAATAAAAATGTGTTTTCAGCTGTGACTCTTTAGTGAGGAGAACAGTGGGAAAGAATTTACTACAAAACTGCGTAGGTTGGAAATTACTTTGAAAGGTGTTTAATTGTTCAAGGAGTCACTCAAGGTTAAAATGAGCAGTTAAAAAACACATTTAAGGATTTAGAAATTATAGTTGGACAAAACTTTCACAGAGAGACTAATTAGGCTGCTGTCAACATGGTAATTGCATTATTCTTCAAATGGAGGCTACTTATTAAAGGGCTACAAAAAAAAATGGTGGAGGAATAAAGTACAGAGGGGTATCAGAGCACAGATGGAGAAAAACAATAGGGATTAGCTGTAATTCCACAACCAGGAGTGGTCCGGGGCATTCCCACCCTGTGAGTTTGACTGGATCAAAAGTAAGTAAGTCACCGTGTTTGATCTGAGAGCCACTTCAAACACAGCAAACAGCAGCAGATTTTCCAAACCACAGGGGAGTCTGCAGGTGCTGTGAAGAGGGTGGAGGTGAGTGTGTTGTACAGCAGACTCCCTCAGCGATGCTTCTCAACATCCCACTGCTGTTCCCTCACTAATGTTCTCTGTCTTGTCTGAAATTCCCTCAGAGGCTTCGGCTGCTCTGACGCACCACTTCCTGCCACAAATGCGCTGATCAAAGAATGTGTGTTGATGTAAAACATGCTGGAATCTCTCTATATTTGAAGTCTGCAGAAAAATTAGCATCACTAAATACTTTTTATCTATAGTTGAAGCAAGAGACAGAAGTTTATTAACTACAGGAAGTTTGATTCGGGAAGAAGACCCTTAGGGGGGGACATTATGCAAAACTGACTTTTTGCGGAGAGTTTTGAGATACAAGCACAAAGTCTCATTATTAGTAAAATGTAAAAGGACAAAATAGAACTGTTAAACAGATGAGTAAAGAATATAGCTGTAATCAAACATATTTTTTGACTAAAGAAAGTTACTAACATTTCTTCAGAACATTGAGGATGTTCGAGTTTGCAGAAAAGTAGCTTAATATATTCCCCTAAGTGTAAAAGAGCTGACGAATCCACTGAGAAATTATAGTTCTTTTAATTATATATTTTTTCACAACAATAATTGCATTGATAGATGTGCAGCTGTTCAACCAATCACATTAAAGCGCTGAGTACTGGTTTGATAAAGTGTATATCAGAAACGTTTCACATCAATCTATGAAGAACTCTGGGGAATACATTTTTAAAGACCGTGCAAAAACTCACAGCAGTTTTGTCGGATTGTGCATTTCTGTAAAAGTGAGTAGCTTCCACCGATAGCTGTCTGTGGTCGCGGCGAATACACCCAACAGGTGTAACAGTGTCAAATTCATCTTCAGCTCTTGTTTGTTGCAAGAAGGTAATTTCTGACAGCCCATTGTGCGCTGCGATGCACATCAGTCGTGCAGAATGCAGGGCAGAGGTGATTGAAAGTGACAATATTATTTTCTGCTCCGGTCGTCCACACGTGCAGTCCAGATCTCAGCTAAATCCTAATAAATGCTCACTGACAGCAGAAGATGAATTACCAGAATTGCTGTGTGAGTTACAGTCTTTGAGTCGCATCAGCGTTCACGTCCTAATGAATTCACACCTTATTGCATCTCTACTGGAATTCTGATTGAATTTGAAAGACTTTCTGACATGACCGCAGGAAAACGGGCAGCCCGTTAACAGCATATCTGCTGCTAACACAACAATTTCCCAAATATCGGATCAAGATAGTAGGAATGTATTTTTTTTAAATTTTGTTTTATATACTGGAAATCTGATTAAATTTGAAAGACTTTCTAACACAACCACAGCAAAACTGAAAAAGGTTGTAGTGTAGAAAACGGGCAGCCCGTTAACAGCATATCTGCTGCTAACACAACAATTTCCCAAATATCGGATCAAGATAGTAGGA